TGATTTTTAAAATTTATTGATGAAATTTTGTAGATTTAATATTTATATCTGCTTATAAAGATGTGTGTTCTCTGTAATATATGCATTTCTAAATATCTGAATTAGTTTAAGCTTATAACTCATGCTTTGCTTTAAAGTCCTTTATGTCTTAGTTAATTAGATATTTTATCTCCTCAATTTATGCCTCCCCCCATCATGGAAAGTTTAGCTGTTGCTTTAAAGATGTCAAGCCTGTAGTTTTTAGATTCACCTATGTTCATAGTTACTGTATCATCTTGGTACCAGTATGTGACATCCTCATTCTTCATTTTGATGTTTTTACTTTTGAATTTTATTTTGTCTTGATACTGAAATTTTGATAGATATTCTCACATTGACCACCAAAAAGGCCACACTCACATACTTCACTTGACTTATACTTGGCTTATGAAATTGTTTCCCCACACCCTCTTAATGTGACACATTTTAAGGCCCATATTCTAGATTTCTTTCTTTATTTGTAGTTTTGGAAATTGGACCTGAAATGCACCTGAAGTATATTCTGGCACTTTTAATTCGAATTTTGCTGCCTGTCATATTCCAACCACAGTGTCCTTAATTGAGTCACTCTGGGTAGCATCCTGACTACACTGAAGGATGGTGCTTGAGAATTTTGACTTAAAATTATTCATGTAGTCACATTTTACTCTTCCTGTTGGGGTTGCCCCAGGATCGTCATCTCTGATGACAGGGTTGGCCCATCCTCTCACATGGATGTGTGTCGCTTGGAGTCTGCTGTGAGAAGTGTGTAGACTCTTTCCTGCTGCAGTTACCCCTAACCATTTAAAGACCTGAGGATGGGCAGCTGTGGTCTTCTGCTTGCTGGATATCCAAGGGTCACTGAGCCCAAGCTTCAAGGAAGCAGAGGGCCAAATAGGTGAGCAGTGGTCAGTCTAATCCTGCTGCCCTGTTGCGGGTTCTATTTTTTGCACCTAGGTGCCTGAATTCATAGCATGATAGGAGAAGCTGTGCTCCACTGATTCCCAGTGCTGACCCTGGCCTGAATGACTCTTGAGTTCTGCTACATGTCTTGTGAGCTGTCAGTGGAGTCTGCTGTTACCCTGAGGCCATGATGTGACATCTTTTTCAGAAAGTTATATCGCTGAGGGAACTAATATCTCTTGCCCCCCATGAGGTTCCTCTTAACATTCCTCTCAGCCTCTGTCTGACATTCTTTCACTCCCACCTCCCACATGCTCACTTTGTGCTTTCATAAATAGCTAGGCTCCTTGAAAAGCTTCTAAAAGCTTAAAGGTAACATCCTTCGCTTCTGTAGAGTATTTTATATTCTTCAAAGCACTTCCATGTACATATTATCATTTGATCTTCACAAAACCTTTCATTTATGTAGGTTAGGTATATTATCCTGGTTTCACCGATGATGAAATACATTCCGTAATTAGGTGAATTGCCCAACCTCAGATACCTTGTTAATGTGAGACTGGTTGAAAGCCCAGTTTGGTGATTTTGTTCATTCATTATTTCTTAATTCGTTTATCCACTCATATTGAGAAGTGGTCCCAAAATAGAAAAAGAAAAAAGTTGAAGTCAGACAAGCTTGGATTTGAAACTTGATACAATTCTCCTACTTGTTATATAATGTTGATCATGTACTCAACTTCTCAGATCAGTTGCCTCATTTGTAACACAGGGAAAATGACTTATGATCCTTTAATCAAGACCAAATAATGCAAGAAAATTACCTGGCAATAATAGTACGTGGGACACAAGAAGTTGAACTGTTATAAATAAAAATGGTCCAATATCAGCAGTTTTATATATGGTCTAACTGAGTTGTAGAAACTTAATATTGTGCATCTTTTATTGAATAATTCTCTATTTATTACATGTGAGGTACTACTAGATCCCAAGAATGTGAATAGAAATGAGACAAGATATTCCGTGTGTATCTTCTGAAAGACCTTAGCCCCCAGGGTAGAGCCTGTATCTGCTGCACCCTCAGCACCAAAAACAACATCTTGAAGGTAGCGGATGCTTGATGGATAAATAATAAATGCTTCCTGAATTAAGAAGGTCCTTGCCCACGAGGATGTTACCAACCAGTTAAGATAGGCAGACACATGATCATATAATTCCAATAAACTGCCCACAAGGATGGTCAGCCATTTAAGATGGGCAGACACATAATCATACAGTATACTGGTGCTGTTATTTATTAGACATTTGCAGGCTTTTGTGTGAGTGCAAAGGAAGCCACGCTCAGCTCTACTGGGGGAGGATGAAATGCAGTGAAAAGGGGGGTCTGCAGCTTCAGAGAGCAGGTGCATTAAGACTTGTTGTGGTCCATTTGAGGAGGGGAACCAACACCACTTTGCTTATCTTGGACTACGTGCTTTCTCTCAACCACTCCCTTTCTAATGTCTGAAATTGAGTTTGTATTCAAAGCAGCCTCTTTGTCTCACAGTCCCTCTGTTACTGGTATCTTCCATAATGTATTGCTTTGTAAAGTGCTTTGCGTCATCCTGAGTAGAAAAGAGATGCTCTGTAAAATCAGTCTCTTCTTTGAGTGTCACACTAGCCATTGCATAACAAAGTGTAATATATTGTGTGAGAAGCAATAGAGGAACACAAGAGATATTTTAAGGGAGCAAATAAAACCTCAAAGTTGGAGAGTGTAGAGTGCATTAAAGTTAATAAACTGTCATGGCAGACAAGACCAGTTTTAAATGTGAAGGAATCTAATTTAAGGATTTGTAACTGTAGGATTAGAATCCTACTGGAATGAAGTTAGCTGCTAGTTTTGCCAAATTCTACATCTTTTGGTTCTCCTGGAGAACCAGTCCTCAGTCCTTGGAATTGAACAGTATATATGTGTGTGTGTGTGTGTGTGTGTGTGTGTGTGTGTGTGTGTATATATATTCTCCAGCTCTTTGAGGTGCTAAATCTAACTCTTTTCCAGAATATTCAGTCTGCTCAACTCTCTCCATACGGTTGCTTTTCTTTAAACTCTGGGAGGATGAATTTAAGTCCTGGTTCTTCTGCTACATGGAGTGCAGACCATCAGCCTGAATTTTCAGAGCTCATGGAGTTATTTCCTCTTTCCATAGTGACATGGGGACCTGGGAACTGACAGGAGTCAGCTTTCACCAGGCGTGCACCACTGAGCTACTGGTCTGTCTCTTTACAAAAGTGAGACAAGGCAATCGATACAGGTCTCCTTCTTGGCAGTAGTGAAGGATGACTACAACCCCAAGGCTTCCAAAATGTTTTCTGCCAAGAACTGGATTGGATTTTGTGCTTCTTCAGCCACAAAATGTCCCCATCATCTCACTCCCGATTTATTAATGCTTTTTGTGGTCCGTGTCCTCAGCATGAATACTTCCTTATCCTTCTTTAACACCTTCATTTTTTTTTCGTTAGCCAAACTCACAATTTTTTGTTCTTCTAATATCTCACATTTTTATTGTTCAAACAAATGGGAGATATTAATGAGCATCTTCATCTTTGATTTCTTGCTCTCTTGATTTCTTGTGGAAGAAGAAAAATCCCCGATTCTGGTTCTGAATGCAGTTTGTAGCATGCTTCTTTGATGTATAAGAATGATTTGTTTCTATAGTGGCATTCTGACCCTGAACAATTACATAACTGTTTTGAGGTTCAGTTTCTACATTTGGGAAATGGGAATAAAATGTCTAATTTACAGGGTTCCCATGAGGACCAAAGAGAGTGCATATAAGAGGTACCTAATGCAGTGTGTATCACATGACAGGTGTATAATAAATGACTATTTAAAACAAAGCAACACATGCAAGACTCATTCTGTTAAAATAAGAGTGGCTTCTGGAGAATGATGAGAAACATAAAGAGAAGTGACTAGTGCTTAAATTCTGCAGAGCTCTTTATCTAGTACCTAGGTAAGATTTAGGGTCATGTGTGGAAGTAAAGAAGCAGGAATTCTTTGTAGGGAAAAGGTGGTAAGGTGTATGAAAATATAGAGTCAGTCATTTTAGGGAAGTCACTGCCATGAGATCTCATTAAAAAAAAATGGAAATTTTTCAAAGGTGGTTCTAACGTTACTTCATCTATTAATAATATTTGTCTAAGTTACCATATTTTCAAGTATAAAGAGATCATAATAATGCTTTTCCTTATAATACTGTACTTGATGATATAAAAGGAAATGTGATATAATGCAATGGAATACAAACTGTAAGACAAAAGTCAGAAGCTCTGAGTTCAAGTTTGTTTTGCTTAATTGGCTCATGGTCTTGAACAGGTCAGTCAGTTTTTTTGAACCTTGGCATGAATATCTATAAAATGAGGGTAATGATATTCTTATTTTTTCCCCACTAACTTTTTATAGGGACCAATTATAAGGTTCACTTGAAAATACTTGCCCACATATTGGCTGTTCTTGTTATTTGGTATCAGGGACCAGACGCTGGAAGTGTTCCTAAGCTTTTGCCAGCTATTGTCCTCTGCGAGGCAAACACAAGGAAAAGGCAGAAAGAATGAGGAGCTTCCCCACATGTGGCCCCTGTGTGCAGCTTTTCTGGGTCATGTTTTGTTGTGGTCTCTGCTGAGCCCCTTTTGCTGCTCACCGGGCCAGGAGCAGGTTCAGGGTGTGTTCTAACCACAGTTCGGGGGTCAGCAGCAGCGGCTGGGTGCTTCCCACAGACTCCAGGTGTGTGCTTGGCAGAACCTTCTCAGATCCTTGCATCCTCTTGTCCTTGTGTGTCTCTGTCCATTTGCTGCTGATGGCCGTTGTAGTAGCATCATTTATTGTCTTGCTCAAAGACATCTGGGACTTTGGAAAGTTTCTTTTTCTCCCATTCTGCTGAGCAAACACTAGCTATTAGAGACTGGGTTAGTTGATAGAAGGTGGGTTGGATAATCAGTAGAAGAAGATAAGGCCCTTGACTCGCAGTATTCACCCTCTTCAAAGACAGGTCATAGAGTGTGGGTCATATTTTAACCATTCTCTCTCTTTGTCTTTCCAGGGAGTCGACAAGTTAAAGATGAAGCCCAGAGCAGAGTGCTGTTCTCCCAAGTTCTGGTTGGTGTTGGCCGTCCTGGTCGTGTCAGGCAGCAGAGCCCGTTCTCAGAAGAGCCCCCCGAGCATTGGCATTGCTGTCATCCTCGTGGGCACTTCAGACGAGGTGGCCATCAAAGATGCCCACGAGAAAGATGATTTCCACCATCTCTCCGTGGTGCCCCGAGTGGAGCTGGTAGCCATGAATGAGACCGACCCAAAGAGCATCATCACCCGCATCTGTGATCTCATGTCTGACCGGAAGATCCAGGGTGTGGTCTTTGCTGATGACACAGACCAGGAAGCCATAGCCCAGATCCTTGATTTCATCTCTGCTCAGACTCTGACCCCTATCCTGGGCATCCACGGGGGCTCCTCCATGATAATGGCAGATAAGGTAAAGGGGGGGCTGCAGCAAGAAGAGCTGGGAGGGAGGCTTGTGTTGAAGATCAAATGATACCGTTATTTTAGGGTAAAAGTAGGTTGTTAAAAATAGAAATTAACTGGGATGCATTGAGTGAGTGGATCGGCCAGGTTGTTTTGAGATGAAAGAGAGAGAAACACATGGGTATATAGAGGCTTCTATAGTTTAGAACTGGTTGTGTCTCCTTTTGTTTATAAATGGACTTGCTGAAGTGATTGAGAGATGTTGAAGCTTGTAATTCTGATACATTTTCTTCAATTAGGTGTCTGAATAGGTCTCTCAATACTTTAAAAGAAAGCATGCTTATTTTCCTTATTTTCCCCACCGTAATGGTTTTGTGAAAATAAAAAGGCAGATAATTGCTTTCCACAAAGACACAGATGTCATAGGCAAGGGACAGCATCCGCATTCATCACTCACACTGGGCTATACATTCAAATGGACTGGAATCCCTGGAGCTGTCACTGCCACGTTTTCCCTATGCGTAGATCTGCAGGCAATGATTCCCAACCTCGGTTGCACACTGGAATCCCTGAGGAGCTTTCAGCACTACTGATGTCTGCTTCCCGCCCCCAGACACTCTGATTATTGGCCTGGGCTTCAGGGCTGTCAAAAGCTTCTTGGGTGATCCTAGCATGTAGTTAAGGTCAGGAATCATTGCGTTCAAGTCCCAGCTAAATCCCGGTCTCTCCTACATTAATATCCGATTGTCTACTGACAGACCAATTATCTTCTGAAATTCGTGCTTAGTCTCCAACTGCAGAGGAAGTGTATTGTTTTGTTTTTACATCTTTAGTCATTTGTTATTTTTCCTTGCCTTATTGATTAGTGGGCGCAGCACTTCTCACATATATACTGTCCTCTGAGTACATTTATGTCCTACAATGATTCACTGCAACACAGGCCTCCGTTTTCACTTTTTATCTCTTTGTATTTTTAAACTTGTCTCTACTTAGCATTGACATCTTAAACTTCTTATTGTCACTTTCAAAACTGCCTTTAGTTTTGTACTGAAAAGACATGCTGTGGGGTTAATGATTCCCTGAACACCTCAAAACCAGAACAGATGCCGCAAGTAAGTGTGCCTCTTGGCCACAGTGCCGCAGCTTGGCCTTGCGTGTCCACTGTCGCCATCTGTCGGCGGCAGGCAGAGATGACCAATTTGTGGCTCAGCTTTCCTTTATTCAGTCTAGGAGAGATCAAGTTCAAAGTATGGAGGATGGAAGGGAAGGGAGGGGAAGGAGAAAATAATTAGGATATATTATGTACAGGTACAAATTCCCTGTGATGAATGCGGTCATTATGTATGTCAAAAGTGTACTAATAAATTAATTTTAAAAAACAAAGCATGCAATGGAAAAATTTCAGAATCATATGAGAAAGATAATCTTCCATTCATGTGGGCACGGATATAGATGTTAGAGAACACGTGCAGGATAAGGAGCCCATGCTATGGGAAGAGGGATAAACTCTACCTGGAAAATGCCCTGACTGTAATTTTTGCTTCAGGTAGATATTGCTCTAAAATATTATTGTCCTTAGTAAATCATATTCTATTTTAGTAGTGGGATTTTGACAACATAATATTGCATTGAAATAATGTTGATATGGATAAGATTCAAATATTTAAATCCTAAATAAGTGCATACTTCTTTTGAGAGTACTAGAGGTAAAAATGATTTTTTCAAATACGGGCTATTGTACAATCTGTTTTATTTCCTCCCAGAAGAAAAGATTATGCCTAAACTGGTTGAATGTGTCTCTCTGGTACCTCTTACGAATTTATAATAAGAATATAAAAATATGAGCTAAAATGAAACCCACACAGAGAGGTCGGACTTTTGTTCTCTGGTGTAACCTAGGTGCTTTGAGAGTATTCACCACATGCTAGTCATTTTATGAGCTAAAACATTATTTCATCTGTCTCTTACAGTTAGGGAAACTGAGGCTCTGAGAGGTGAAATAACACATCCAAAATGATATATTGAAAGTGGCAGCCACACTTAACATTTGCTCCTGGCTTCAAAGGCCATGTGTTCTATTGTCCCTTAGAAAGTGGGACCTGAATTCACCAAGTCTCATCGACCTTTCTACCCTCTCCCTCCTCTGTATGTGACCTTGTGGGGGATGTCATGTGACCGGAAATTGATTCATAACCAGGCAGACAGGAGGGGGCTGATGAGAGCATGACATGGCACAGTGCCTAGTGTGGCACAGTCCACAGAAGGCCTGTTACCTCTAGGGGCAAAAGGCAGAACTGAATTCAGTGGTGGGTCTTCCAGGTCACTGTAATGAGACCTCATTCTTGTCACTTCTCCCTTCTTCCTCTCCCCATTGCTACTACACCCCTGCTTTTGTCCTATCTTTTTCTCTCTCCGTTAATAAAAGGAGGTGGACAATGAGTTTTAGATAATTTCTTAAAATAATCTACATTATATCTAGCTAGCATTAGATCCAAAAAGAAGCATTTCTAAAAGGTAGGCAGCAAGAGGAAAAAGAAGAAGGAAGTCTTGACAGCTAGAAAGTTGGATGCCTGCATGGTGGCTGCAGAGGAAACTACTGCCAGAGTCACAGGCAACAGGAGGGTTCAGCACCAAGATTCCCAGGAGCCACACAGAAGAGTGTTCACAGGGTCGAAGAATTTGCATGAAGGCCAAAACAGGGTGCCTCGGCAAGCTATGGTAACAATGTCTATAATCCCATCTGTTCTGGAGGCTGAGACAGGAAGATTGAAACTTCGAGGCCTGTCTGGGCAACTTATAGAGATCCTGTCTCAAAATAAAACTGTTAATGAGTCCTGGGGGTGTAAGTTAGTGCTAGACCCTTGCAAAGAATGTGCAAGGCCCTAGGTAAACCCCCAGTGCTAGGGGGAAGAAGAGTCTCCCAGATCTTAGAGAAAGCTTAGGAACAAATTTCAAAACTAAACCACCTCAAAATCTAAAGGCAGTTTTTTTAAAAAAAACTAGAAATGTGTTTTTATGTACCTTGACCATGACTTGTAAACATAGAATGGGGTCATACAGCTTGACAGCTGTTAATCGACAATGGATCAGTGGGACAAACATTTGAAAGCAGAGATAGCTTGGCTGTGTTTGGGACATACAGTGACCATCTGAAGAGTGCTAAATAAACCTTCCATTTCACTTCCTCTTTTAAGAGACAAGTAATTGCCACTTCATTAACATTTTTTTGTTGTTAGTTTGTTTAGCATAAAACCCACTTATTAAGTGCTCTTGTCACAGATTGCATAACAGGGATAAAGTCCCTCTTTTGAAAGAGTTTTTGATGTAGAGAAGACAGCACTGTTGTAAAAGACTTTTGATGAAATAATAGAGACACAGTTCAGCACTTCAGCATCTGGTCACATAGCATGTGTTCACTTTTTTGCTTGTGCTAATTAATCAGTAAAAACATTAATTGGTGCTCTGCTTTCTAGATGAAGAAATATACATTATACTGTGCCAGAAAGCAGTAGGGGAGGAGAGTAAAGCGGGTGTAAGGGCTCTCAATTTAGAGGCAGAGCTAATTTCAACCATCACTTCCTAGATGTGGGGCTCTAGCTGGCCACCAACTCCTTACTCACAGTCTTGGTTTCCTGGCTGCATAGTGGGGATAATAATGGAGCCATTATTGGGTTGTTGAGGATTAAATGCCTCACAAAGTCTTCAGCGTAGCACTCAGCAGCGTAAGCGAAGGCTATATGGAGCAGTTTGGAGAAAGTGAGATAGTTTCATGGTTCAGGAAAAGAATGAGAATCGAATAGTGCCTCAGACAGTTCTGAATTGGAGAATGCTAAGTCTGGGAAAGGGCTCTGAATTGTGGAGCTGAGTTCTTGGTCTTGTCCCACAAGAGAAGCTGAGGCTCGTTAGAAAATAGAAACTGCTATGACCAAAAACGACACATTCAGGAAAGCTGTAAAGCAGTGAACCAAGGGGTGCTTGTAACAGAAGACTGTTTACAGTACTAACGGAGAGGATGTTTAAAAATGTATGAGGTGCTTTTTGGCAGTTCCTCACCTGAGTATAAAGAACCTATTTTATTTTGCTTTGTTATAATTGCTTTTAGTCTCTCTGAGATCTTGGATTTAGGATGCCCATCTGAATTCAAATAATGAACTAAAACTAGATGTATTTCCACTTCTTTCTAGGGATATTCTCTATTCATTTGCTGAAATCTTTCTTGGATTTTCACAATTTAACTCAGAGAAGTTAAGTAACGAATCCAGGAGATCACAGCTCATAATTAGCAATGGGACTGGGATTCAAACCCCAGAAATACTTGTCTTGGAGCCCGTCCTTTCTATTATACAATTCTGCCTCATGAGATACTGAACTAAGAATTGTAGCTCTCTAGTTTTAATCTCCATTCTGATGAGCTTTGGAAATTTGGGCAATCAGATCATTTAAGCTACATGATAGAGTATGGTTTGTAAGATATAATTTTTGTTTTCATCCTACCCAATCTACAACATTTTGGAGATAAGATGAAATAAAATATGTGGGAAACGTTGGGAGAGCACTGTGCAAACAGACACTTTAGGTGAGGAAAATAGGGAGAGGTGGTAGGAAAGGAGAGTCCCTGACAATTGTTCTGTCACTGGCATCAGGACTAGATGCAGATGGCTTGGGCAGGAGGTGGGAAGGAAAATGGAAAGATGGAAGCTACAGTAAGATCAGGCAAGGGTATCCAGGATACAATCTAGTACTGCAAAAACGGAAGAGAAAATCGTGTGCTGGGTCAGAGTTGGAGTCTGGAAACGGATTAATCAGAGTGAAAGACTGTGGCTAAGTCATCAGCCTGTATGGTTCTCCCCATTAAAGGGTATGCACAGATATTCTTAGCATGGAATCTGTTGCTATGATTCTTTCCTTTCTAAGGTGCTTGATTAGAACTTGTTGTTTTGAAGAATACACTCATTTTCTGTGGAGAAAACCACATTTTGTAATGTAACTGGGTTTGGGAAGATGGTCGCT